TGTCCCACTCACCCAAATCTCACACACAAAAACGAATTTTAGTCAGTTCACAAAAAAGGGTATGCCATGCATCCATGGAACATAATCAGATCTTCTTTCCTCCTCAAATGGATAGGTAACATCTTCAGCATTACAGAAATGTATCATATGTTGGGTTATTTTTTGAAATCCATAGCCAGAAATCTCACACAATGCAGAAAACCGAAAACTGTCCCACTCACCCTGAACTTACCCTACTGTATAAGCTTCTGCTTGTGATGCCATTGAACTTTTGTCTATTCTTGTCAGGATGGCAGAGATGGAGGCAAAGCTCCGAGTAATAATTGATGACCGAATTGAGAAGTTGGTCCTTCCATCAGGAATCCCACCCACTGTGGAGGAGCTGCAAACTATTGTGAAGGAGACCTATGGGATTTCTGATGAGTTCAGTCTTCAGCATTTGGACTTGGAATTTGAAGATTACTTTACTCTTCACAACACTGACCTTATTAAACACAAAGACACCATAAAGGTTGTTCACACTGCCCCGATTCTTCTGAACTTGTATCCAGTTGATGAAAGTTTGGACAGTTCCTTTGTTCAACAGTCAACTGACTGTGACTCTGCATCATTTGCAGAGTCAACTGCATCAAATGCAGAGTCAACTGCATCAAATGCAGAGTCATCTGCTGGAACATCTTCTTCACGGGACACCATTATCCTGTCTAGGCGAAGTACCACAGAACGTTGTCAGCCATGGCCAAAGCAGTTCCCCATTCCACAGTTTGCATATGAAACTGAGATGTGCCTTGAAAGAGCCACTGAGGACTACAAGAAGAATGGAACACTTCTGACTACCTCTAAGATCAAGGCAGACATACTTGAAAAACTGGCTGAAACTGTATATACATATACAGCCTATCCATCAGGTTCACAGATAAGTGATGTTGCTGAGGCACTTGTCAATAAATACCCTTGTCTCAAGGAACCCGGCTCCTTTGCAGGTTACTATGGCTGGCAGCAAAGCCTGAAATACAAGATGTCAAATTATCGCCCCAAACTCCGAGGCTACGGTGTTCCTGAGGTGTTATGCAATGTACTGAAAGGCAAGACCCCTGCGGACCAGAAGTCTGCAAAGAATGTAAAATAGCCTCGAAAGGCAGAGGTAAACTTCCTTCCTCCTTACCCGGCCGGAGAGGATGAAAAAAGTCAAGAACAAGAGATGATTCAGTTGCTTACTGAAGTAAAGAAAAAGGACAACAACGCATTGATAAAAGAAAAAATGGCCAAAACATTTGTACACAGACAAAACAAAATCATCAACCAGTCACCCAGCATGGAGGACATCAAAGCCAGATGGCCCGCTCTATTTGAGACACCTCACGTGAGTTACAAGTGCATGCTAATTAGAAATATCCCTAGTCCATTGTGAAGGATTGCACTTGTGGTTCTGCATTTAGCTCTTAGATACAAAATGTGTGTTACGTTACTGTCATCTATTTTCTAGATCAGATTTTGGAAAGATAAGTTTTTGTTGCATTACATGGTTATACAGTTTCTAAGGAATCATTTTAAATAATAGAGGAACTACCAACATTGAAGATTGTAGTATGTTAACCAAAATATTTTATTAAAAGGGTCATATTATGCCCCTTTCCTAGTTTGATATTGTCATATCTGTGATGTATTTACAAACGGCATGTTTTTATTATCAAAAAGCTCCTAGTTACAGCTGTACAAGCCATGGATACAGACCCTTTGTCTCACTGAGCCTGAAGCCTCCCCTTCCGAAAAGCCCACTCTGCTGTGATTGGCCAGCTCCTTAGAGCATGTCGGAAGTGTCACACCTCTTACCATAACCAGAGTTCAGCTACCTAGCGAGCCATGGGGTGAAGAAAGATGCAGCGGCAGTTACAAATTCTATGCCCCTCGTGACATTAAGTGGAGCCACAAATCTGAATGGCTGTTAATCACATGAGTACAGAGCAAGCAGCCCACATTAAACTGACTGAGTTGTTATTTCAGTTTCTGTGTTAGTAGGCATATCAGAGACCCAAATAAAAAAAGTGATTTTTTTTCATAATATGACCCATTTAACATGCTGTAGAGTCTAACCCAGAAGGTAAACAATCGACAAACATGGAGGCCATAAAATGATGTGAAAACGATGATCAGAAATAGGTTGCTTCTTGCTTTTGAAAAATGTTGTAAGAACAGTATATATGTTTGTAATATTTGAGGCTTTAAAGCTGGTTTCATGATTTGTCTTTCAGATCCAGGATGACTTTCACAGAATCACAATGGTGCATCTTGAATCGAAGTTCATGTCCAAGTTGGATGAATATACTCCTCGGCTTCTGAACCTCTTCCACTCCAAGGGCAGAAGCATGGGGTTGAGGTTGCAGGCTATCCTACTCAAGGTATCCTTCATTGAGTATTATGTTTGCTAATATTTTATCTTAGGAATTTTGTGATCAAACTGCTGGAATATCATTACTTAAATTTACAGGAGGTAATGTTAGCCTGTGATTCTCTATAAATGGAGTATGAAATAACTGCATAAGAATTTGTGTTTCATTATACTGGTCCCTGAGACGGCACAGGACGGATCCTTGTTAGGGGCTTATTAACAGTAATATAAACCACCTGGTGTTTATTTTTGTCATTTCAGACTCCAAGCAATCCTAACATCAACATGACCAGAGATGTTGTCATTCGATGTTTGATGGTGTACCTTGGGGAATCTACAGATCAACTCTTAAAAGAGTATGATGTAAGTTGAAGTACATGTTAAAATATAAAGAAGGTGGTCTCTCTCATCTCTTGTACCTGGTATGTCTTGGGAAGGTCAAATCACAAAATAGTCATAACTATATTTCTCCCAGTCTTCTTGGCAAGCTACATCATTGTCCTCTGTTTAAGTGTGTGCTTAAAAGTTTTTGTTTTCCATTAAGGAATTTTTAAGTGCTACTGCAGAAATAGGAGGTGTTATGTAAGGGATAATGTATAATGAGCCGGTGAATACTGGGAAAATAACTCCCGACGGGAATAGAACCCTGACGCGCATTTCCTGCTTATTACACGGCTAATCATCAGTTAAATAAATAATTTGAGACAGAATATTGATTAATTATACGATTTTTATTGATTTAGAAATTAAATCGGGAGGAGAGAAAAAAAGACTGCCGGCAACGGCTGAATCTCCTTGTCAGGGCAGCGTCCCTAGCAACGCTGGGCTACATAGCAGTGGTCATTACACAGTAATATCAGACCTCTGAATGCCACGACTGACCAATCAGAATACAGCATTTAATAGGGCCGTGTAATAATAAACGCTTACTATCTCAATTTGATTTCACCAACTGGCAGAATTTAAAACTTGTCAGTAGTTTATGTAATCTTTTTCCTAAGAATGCTTTACCTAACAACTGTATTTTTCTGTCTTATTTTTTTTACATCTTTATAATTTGTCCCTAAAAGCTAGCTAAGAAATGCTGGCAAAAGAGCTGCTTTGTGAATACAAAGACATTTTTACAGAGAGATTGAGGCAACTTCTTAAATAAGCGAAGGAGAGCGGAGTTGAACCAGTTGCTGTGGAAGACTTCAAGCTTCAGGAATGAACTTACAGTGCCACATAAGTCTTGTTTCCACTATCAGTACGGTGCATTACAGTACAAATTGGTATGGTAATGGTTCGGATCGGTAACGGATAGCTTTGCGATTCCACTGTATAGGGGACCCTTATAGTAGTAGGCAGAGTGTGGACTACTGAAAAGGTACAGGCACTGCCCCATTGAGCTCCTGCTGCACGATGATACAGAGCAGTGCCTGTACCTCTTCAGTAGTCCACACTCTGTTGTTAGCAGGTTCCGACATTTTCCTCTTAAGAAAATACAAACAGCAGATACAAACGGCAAGTACCCGGACCAAAGGGTTACAAAAATCATAACCCTTCCATGGTAATGGAAACGCAAAAATAAGCGTACCGTGTCGTCTTGTACCGCACCGTGGCGCATAGTGGAAACATGGTTATAGAGATTGGTTGACAGGTGACCAGCCTGTGTTAGCGAATGTAGATTAAGATATTCATCAATACAGTGCCAGGAAGAAATGATGTAGTAATGGAATGATTTCATTTCAGAAATTTCATTGACAAATATTTACAACTGTAACTCACTTCAGCCCATCATCGTGTGATTGAATTATTTTGATTTGTTGGTGAGCTGATTGGATCATTTTCAACTTACTTGGTGTGAAAATATGCTTTTATGTACGTTTTTTATGTGTTATCTCAGATTTTTCTAAAACACTGACATAAATAGAGTGCATTACAGGCAACGGCTATGACAAACCCAGATTTTCTTGTCCAAACAGTTGGAAGCAATTTGTGAAATAGGACCTTCTCCTTTGGCTGTACTGTCTGATATGCACAATGTTATTGCTATTACAGGATGCTGATGAAGACAGTGTGTCGCAGGACCTTGCTGTTCAAAGCTTGAAGATCTACAATATCAAAGCTAATACGTCAGAGGATCCAGATGACATCTGTATCGTGGTGGAGGGCGTGAAAGTTCTGACTGCTCTGGGTAACTTTCCAAGGGCTTGCTCCCTGCTCTTTGGGTTGATGTATGCTGTGAATCTTGCCTATCCAAAGGAGCTCAGGTACTCGTTTGAAGTGTTTCAGAAACTTCTCCTCGAGCTGGATAGTTCAAAACTCTCCCCAAAAGTGAACAGCCTCAGGACTAAGCTACTGGCTTAAGAAATGGGACCCTTGCTAATCAAAAGGGAATTGACAAGTCACTGTCAAAACTGACACACAAGACTTTGTGAAATGCTTGCGTTTCAGTGAAGTTAGTTAACATTAAGGCAATATCAGTCAAATTTGGATTTCTGCATGTGTATTTTTTTTTTTCTTGCAGTACATTACAAGTGTTAATATGTTGAATTTTTCTGTTATTGCACTACAATGTTGTTAAATGCTTCCATGCCATTGGATGGAACCACCCATTCAAGAACCACCCTTTCTAAGGACAGACCCATTTGTTACATTGCTTTGCATCTGTTCAGGTTGAGGTACATACCTGTCTGTCACATGACCCTTGTGTAGCTGTGACATTTTGTGGACGGTCCATGCAGGCTTCACCACTGAAGGGTGATGATCTCCAGGCTGCACAACTTTGGTGTGTTGTAATATATCATTTGCACTATATATATAATCTGTTTTTTGTTGAGTTCTGTCTTTCAACTTACTGTTAGAATAGGAAAATAAGTGTCACAGAGTCAAGGTCCCCAATACAGTGACATGATGTAGCATAAAAATACAACAAAAGAAAATATAAGTGTTCATGCCACATGGGTCTCTCCCATCTCTCACATTTTGTCATGTAGAATGGCTGAGGTGTTTTCCCCAGTTAACCTTTACATTCATACCTGTTCTGTCCTCTTTATGCCCTTTAAACATAAAGTGTACTTTTATATGATTGATAGAAAATTGTTGAAGCAGGCTTAACTGAGTCCCAGTTAATTGTTGTTCATGTGATGGTTCTAAAAAATCATATTAACCATACTTTGAGCGGAGTGGCATCATGTTTTTGACTTGATACTGATATATATATAGCTCCTCCTCTGTTTTATTGTTGTATTTTGGCATTTTGCACTTGTTGAGTGCTGGATTAACATGTTTTAAAAAGTTGCAGAAATAAATGTTTATCTGCTGCTGTTTTATGCATTGTAATCTGTTGATTTCTTTATGCCACAATTTACTTAATTTTGGTCAGGATATTGGGTAAATTAGACAGACAAATTATGGCAACAAAGTGACATTCAATATTATTGAATAGATTTAAAGTCCTGTGATACAAATTAAAACTTAAAATTTAACAATTATTTTAGGTACAGGTAAATAAGAACAACAGTGTAAATGGGTTGAATTAAGCAACAATGTGCTAGAATATGAGTTGATATAATTTATTTTATTTAGTGAATCCAAATCATTTTTATTCAGATATTTAGTAAATGTAAATCAATTTCACCTAGATTATCAGTAAATATGAATCAGTTTGGCAATATAACTCATCATTTGGCATGCTATTACTAAATCCAACACATTTCAACTGTTGCTTTTATTAACATGTACTTTTTTTTTTTTTTTTTTTTACTTGGCTGCATTGGTCTTCATAGCTTAGCGCCACTAAAGGGTGTAAGCTTCTTGTGAAGATTGATGCACTGTTAATCTTGCAGTCAAGTATTTTATACCCATAATGCGTGGTTGTGACCGTCACCCACCCTCCCTGGAGACTAGCCTATCAGCCTTTATTGGAAAAACTTCCTAATATGAGTCAGAGAGGGCCGTGATACACCAAAGTGTGTCAGGGGGAAAGTAAGGAAACAAGCAAGGGGGAGGGGGCAGGTGCTTAAGTCCTGAGTTATATAGTGACAGTGCATGCGGAGAAGAAGGAGGAAAAACAAACAAATAAACAAAC